GCGGAGCGCCGCTCTTAAGTCACCGATAGGAACTTCGGCGGACCGGAATAGCGAAAATCGTCAATGTCGGCCGCGTCGGAATGTCACGTAGAAGGTTTTTTCTTTTTCCTTTTCAGGCCGCCAAAATTAGGTCGAATCGGCCGATTTCCGTAGATCTATCACTAATCCCACACATCCCCCCACACACCACCCTCGGCTTCGCGGCTACACGGCTGCTCTGCTTCGCGGCTACACGGCTGCTCGGCTGCGCTGCTGCACCTGTTCAGCTGCGGGAAGGGGGAAGGGGTAGGAGTGCAGATGCGGGGCGACGGGCGGCAGCCCGACGTGAAGCTGCGGGGCGACGGGCGGCGGCCCGACGAGAAGCTGCAGGGCGACGGGCGGCAGCCCGACGAGAAGCTGCGAGGCGACGGGCGGCGGCCCGACGTGAAGCTGCGAGGCGACGGGCGGCGGCCCGACGAGAAGCTGCAGGGCGACGGGCGGCGGCCCGACGAGAAGCTGCGGGGCGACGGGCGGCGGCCCGACGTGAAGCTGCGAGGCGACGGGCGGCGGCCCGACGAGAAGCTGCAGGGCGACGGGCGGCAGCCCGACGAGAAGCTGCAGGGCGACGGGCGGCGGCCCGACGAGGAGGAAAGCGAGCGTTAGGTTATAGCGCGGACGATGCGCTTACCAGATAAATTACCGTCGAAAGTGACGGGAAGGTGCAGCGGGAAAATTTCCGCCGACGAATGTCGCGAATCACCGGCGACGAGGTTGACGATGGCTTCGCCGAGGTTTGCGGGACGAGTATCCGCAGAGGTAAGAAGATCACGATCCGCGTATGCGGTTGAAGGGCTCTGATACCATGTCAGAAATAGGCTTAGAAGCGATGCATTAGTAATGAGCTTGAAGCTCTTTAAGTACATCCAAGAGGGGTAGGAAAAGGATGGGGAAGGGAATCGGGGGCAATCTCTAGGGATTGGGGGTAATCCCAAGGCAATCTCCAATTGGTGGGTTGGAGATTGGTTGGAGATTACATTTGGGTTTGGTTGGGATGTAGGTGTACACCCAACCAAACACAATGTGCAAACTACACTACTCTAGGATATAGAAAATACAAAGTACAAATTGTGAGATTGAAGACTAACACTAACAGCGGCAAGCGCAAGGGTGGGAGGGGGCGAAATGGAAGGGGCAGAAGCAACACGGGGGGCAGCGGAGACCAAAAACCCCACACAGATGCTCCCACTCGCGCACTGGTGCCTTCAAACAAGAGCCTTCCCATTGTTCGCTGCACAGCCGATGCGGAATTCCTGGTGTATGTTGCCGGCTTGTTCTTTGATCCCCCGCGGTGTGCCCATTGCGTTCCATGCTTTCACCGTTACAAAGCCCTCATTCCCTTTACTACTGCCATTGCCAACTTCGCCTACCGCCCCGCCTCCGTTCTCTTCAACCGCTTCGTCTCCATCTTCCCGCCACGCTCCCCGGAATTCATGAAGCTTGCACAGACACTGCGTACCCACGACCCTTCACCTGCAAAAAAATCGGCTGTGCGTCGTGACCTCCCCGCGGTTCGCGAGCAAGCAGAGAGGCTGCCCATTCTCCTGCTGCTCTTTATCGCCCTGAACTGGCCGATTTTCATCCTCGGCATTGATGAGGTGATGAAAATGGGGACGGTGGAAGAGCGAGTTGAAGCTGAACGGAAAATTGCAGAGCAACAGGTGAGGAAAGGGCATGGAACAGGGAGTAAAAGAAACGGTGGGCGAGGAGAGGCAGAGGAGGAAGCGGAAGGGGAGGGTGATGGGGAGGTGTGGGAGGAGGTGCGAACCTGGTGTGCCACTGCAATGATGGCGTGGCCGTCCAGTGTGCGGGCCACTGGCAAGTGGTTCGACCCTGAATCCGTTGCATCGGGGCTCAGCCCTCCCTCCAGGGGCAGCAAGCAGCTGGGCTCGCGGCTGCTGGCTTGTGCGTTCTTCCATTTGGCGGCACAGACGAGGTTCCATGACGACTTGGACGGCCAGGATGGGCCGGGTAGAAGCAGCAGTGCCGGCACCAGCAGCAGCACCAGCAACAGCGGCGGCGGCGGCAGTGGCGGCGGCAGCAGCAGCAGCAGCAGAAGGGGCTGTAGCAGCAGCGGTGGTGGCAGAGGCAGCAGCGATAGTGAGGGGATGGGCGAGAGAGTAAATTTGCCGGATTATCTTCAGCCATGGCCAGGGGGAGTCAATTTGCTGGCATGTCTGCGAGAGATGCTGCTGGGGGAGCCGTGCTACCGCCCTTCCTTTCGTGCTGAGCCTCCCATCCCTCCAGCAATAAACACCATTTCCCTTCCTATGTCCTCTACCCCTAGTACCTCGTCCACCCTTCCCTTCCCTTCCCCAGTCTCTGCTGTTGCACCAAGCGCTGCTGCTGGGTCTGTTTCGTGTACTGAAGGTTGTGCTTCTGCTGCTTGTGGTGGGCGTGTGTGCGGTTCTGCGGGGTGTGGGAGGGTGGAGGGGGGTGGTGTGAGGCTGAAGAACTGCTCCGGGTGTGGCAAGGTGGCGTATTGCAGCAGAGAGTGCCAAAAGGCGCACTGGCCCTCCCACAAGCTCACATGCCCCGGCAGGACCAGTGGGAAGAAGAGTGGGACGAGCAGTGGCAAGGTGAGCGACAATGTGAGTGACAAGGTGAGAGACTAAGGACAGCAGTGCGCACAGGTGGGGAGATGTAAAGATAAATGAATGGTGTATGTGTCAAAAAGAGTGGGACGAACAGTGGCAAGGTGAGCGACAATATGAGTGACAAGGTGAGAGACTAAGGACAGCAGTGCACACAGGTGGGAAGAGGTAAAGATAAATCAGTGGTGTATGTGTCTTTACTCTCCCCCATGCTGAGTGGTGGAGAGGAGTGGTGACTAAGTTCACCACATAGTAACGAAACATGCGGCAAGGCTTGTGTGACTGCTGTCTATGTGAAGCAATTGCCTCTCACATGGCTGGGGCAGGTGAACAATGCTCAAACGTGTTAATTATTCATCTGTTTGATTGATGCATAACTCTACATGCATTTGCTTTCTCTGCTCCCTCATGCCCCTGCTGCCCTTGTTTGGGGATCCGCACAGGTTTTATGACAAGTGGCTGCCAAGGATCTCAAAATCACGACTCAAGCTAAAATTTGCACCTATGTGCTTTGACAGTATTTATGTTGAGATAGATGCCAGCATTCTATGCTGAAGTGGGTTTCTGCAAACAGCTATGGCATCATATAGTCTCTGAGATAAAAGCTTGCATCAAGGTCCTTCTGGCCGTGCTCATTAGAGCAGCTCACATGCAGATGGCTGCAATGGCTGCATGAAACTTCAGGTGGTCTCCTATTTCCCAACACTGGTACCGTATCATCTGTTATTACAATTGCAATTGAGAAACCAGGTCCAAGCTAAGGACACGTCATTTTCATTTCATTTTTGCTCAATACCCATCCCGACCAATCTGAACACTGGTTTGAACGTTGTAGAATGCGAGACATCTCATTGGCCCGCATTCAAACGAACTAAAAAGACCCGCTCTAAGGGCGTATCCATGATTGGGTCATGAGCACTGTTCATTGCTACTGTTTGGGTCGTGCGGAATTTCCGCATGACCCGAAGTGGGCTTACGAGCCGCGCGCGGCCCCAGCTTTGGGTCAATGTGCAGGTGTTGTGCTTCTGACGTGCACGAACCACTCACAGCCAATCACCTGGTTGCACGATTGTGGTTTTACTGCCTTTTTTTTGGCGATCGTCAGTTGAGTGTCACACGTGTGCAATATCCCACTTCTTACACCTCTGCACCCAACCACTCTGCAAATCGTGTCTAAAATTTCTCGCGTCGCGCTCCCAGCATTTGGGAATTCACTCCGTGAATTTTGACGGTAGTGTTTTCTCAATGATTGTCGCGTGGTTTCGTAAGGGTCTCGCTAATAACCTTTCGAAATGTTTGGCATCCCTCCATTGGGTACGACTGTTGTGGGGAGGTTGATTTTGGCGCGAATACCCTCGCGGCAATTTTGGGGTCGCATGACCCAAACATGCGTTTTATGTTATTTGGGTCATCCGCCAATCGCGGATGCCCAGAACAGTGCTCATGACCCGAACCTGGATACGCCCTAAGGTGAACAAGATTATCCGAGTCTCCCAAAGTGAGCCTTGCATCAGCCGTCTTGTCGGCCTGGTATGAGATTACGTTTTCCAGGCACGACGGCATGAGATTACCTTTTCCAGCCACGACGGCATGAGATTACGTTTTCCAGCCACGAATCACAATTCTGCCGATTTTCTATTCAACTAATACCGTCCCGCGCTCCAGATCCTTCTATCCACTCGACATTCCCTATGTTCATGCTTCTGCTTTGATCGCTCCTCCGCAGATAATACAGGCTCATGGCTGACCAAAGAAATCATTTGACAGATGCGGAGGGACCAGCGTCGAAGCTAGATAGGGCAGCGCCTGGTGAATCCGCAAGGCAGACTACGAAGAGATTCAAGAGTAGGAAACATGGACACTCAGTCAGTTGCCGCGTCGGAAGCATGGGTAGCTATTGGTGATTATTATCAAATGCCGTCGCTTTTCACGGCGATAATTGCAGCAATCGCGTTGTACGTCTCGACGACATGGCTGACGTTTCTCCGTCGTCGTTATTCCTTACCTCCGGGCCCTTCCCCGTGGCCTATCCTCGGTAATCTTCCGGACCTGGGCGTCCTGCCGTACCGCACCCTCGCGAAGCTGGCGGACAAGTTCGGTCCAATCCTGACCGTGTGGCTCGGGTCATTTCCGTCTGTGATTATATCCTCCCCGTAGCTGGCTCGTGAGGTGCTTAAAACGCAGGATAAGATCTGCTCTTCACGCCCGCTCTTACAACTCCTCGCATTCATGGTCGACGGAGGGAAGGACATCGTTTTTTCGCCGGCCGACGAGCATTGGCGAACGCAGCGACGGCTGGCGACGCTGCATCTCCTGACGGCGCGCGCCTTACAGCAGAGCCTACCCGTGCGCGAGCGGGAAATCCGCGCCATGCTTGACGCGATTGCCGAAGTGGCTAATAACGGGGACGCGAGAGGCGTGGAGTTGCGAGGGTATTTGAACCGTGCGACGCTCAACCTCATTCTGCGGCTGACTGTCGGAAAGCATTACACGTACAGCACAATCCGTCGCGCCTCCGCCGCCGCGCCTGGCGAGATGCTCGAAGCGGCTTACTAGACGGACTGGGAGGGACGGCTGGCCAATCGATCTACTGAAACTTCGCCGCGATCTGTGGCGGAAGACGAAATGGAAGGCGAGAAGGTGATCGCGATTGTCGACGAGACGTTTCAGGTCATGGGGACGTTTAACTTGGCGGATTTCGTTCCATGGCTCAGCCCTTTGGACCCGCAGCGCATCTACTGGCGCGCGAAGCGGCTTAAACCGAATGTTGATGGGTTCCTGCTTTCCTGCATCGAGGAGAGAAGCCGGATGCTGAAAATGCGGGGAGAGGGAGAGGAGCGAGAAAATGTGGGTACGGACGGAAAAGCGGGGGTTGCGGGGAAGGGAGAGGGGGATGGTGGTGAGAGAGTGATGGTGGATGCTCTGTTGGAGATGGAGGGGGAAGGGGAGGATAGGGTTACCAGAAAGCATATGATGCTGCTTTGTATGGACATGATGAATGCTGGCACTGACACCACTGCTAAAACCGTGGAATGGGCCCTTGCTGAGCTGGCAAGGCACCCGGACGTGCTGGAACGCCTCCAAGCTGAGGTGGATGCGGCGTATGCCAAGCCAGCTGCAGCAGCAGCAGCAGCGGCAGCAGCAGAAGAAACCAATGCGAAACAGGGCGCTGAAAATGCGTCGCTTCCAGTGCAAGAGATGCCATATCTTCAGGCGGTGATTAAAGAGACTCTGAGGCACCACCCACCGGTACCGCTCCTTATCCCTCACGTGACAACTGCCAGCGTTTATCTTGGCGGTTACACCATCCCTCCAAACACAATCATTCAGATCAACGGCTGGGGTCTTGCTCACGATCCAAAGGTTTGGACCAACCCCGATGGATTTGACCCCAGCAGGTTTCTCGGCCCGTCTGCCCCGGATGTGACCGGGCAGGATTTCAGTGTCCTGCCATTTGGTTCGGGCAGGCGTGGGTGTGTGGGGTTGAATCTGGGCATGGATCTATCTGCTCGCATGCTGGCCAATTTCATTCGCCGGTTTAGCTTGAAGCTGCCTGAAGACGTGGTGAAGTCCGGTGGAGTGGACTTGGGGGAGGAGTTTAGTCTCACTGTGGCCCTGGCAAAGCCGCTGCGGCTTGTGCTCCAGGAACGTAAGTGAAGCGGTGCTGCTGGCGCAAGCACAGTAGCAAGCACAGGATGGTACAGTTCATTTGAGGTTGCGTGGTCAGAACCATTTGCGTGTCAAGGAAATCGTTGTGCATCCAGGCTGGTGGGTCTTGCATGAGATCCCGAAGTTCTTTCTGGTGCTCAAAGGCAGGGGGTTATGCTGTGGGGAGGTAGGTGGGCACCTCATTGCCCAGCAACATGGAATTTCCATCTGAACCTTCCATCTGAACCTTTCACAAGGCTGCATGTTGAGGCATGTTGGTGACAACCATACACCATGTACAATGCCACCCAAGGGGGAACCAACCAGCAGTTGCTGCCTGTGCGTATGGGAGGGCTCTAGACTAGAGGCACCTCAAAATGCATGTTGACTACAGCAATGCATCACGGGGGAGAAGGGGAAGCATGAAACAAGCAGAGGGAATGCGCAAGCAAAAGCGGTAATGCGCATCCGGGGAATCGAACCCCGGTCAGTACCGTGGGAGGGTACTATGATACCACTACACTAGATGCGCGTGATTGTGATTTTCCATTTTTTAAAATAAATAACATGGCCAAAAAAAATATGCTTATGACAGCTCCAAGTTCCCCACTGTTGCTGGTGGTGGCGGTGATAGGAAAGTTTGGGAGAGTGATGGGATCACAGGAGGACGAATATACCGGGTAGGAAAGTTTGTCCCTTAGAAGCCAAACAAGTTGCGCATGACAGCTCTCACGGGCTTTGATGCTGCCGCTGCTCCTGGTGGTGTTGCTGCTTTCTAGGCGCTGGTGTAAACTTCACACGGTCCCAACTAAGTGAGTACACAGCGCTAGGCAAGGGGTGGGAGACCGAAGACAAGTGATGCATTTGTTTTTCCGAAGCCGAACGAGTTGCTCATAACAGCTCTCATGGGCTTAGATGCTGCTGCTGCAGCTGCTGCTGGTACTGTTGGTGATGCTCTTGCTGATAAGAGTGAGTACAGAGAGCTAGGCAAGGGGAGGGAGGCCAAAGACAAGCGAGGCTTTTGTCCCTCCGAAGCCGAATGAGTGTCTCATAACAGCTCTCATGGGCTTTGGTGTTGCTGCTGCTGCTGCTGCTGCTGGTACTGTCAGTGATGCTCTTGCTGATAAGAGCGAGTACAGAGTGCTAGGCAAGGGGTGGGAGGCCAAAGACAAGCGAGGCGTTTGTCCCTCCGAAGCCAAACGAGTTGCTCATAACAGCTCTCATGGGCTTTGGTGTTGCTGCTGCCGTCGGCAGGAAGTTTCCTTGAAAGACAGGGTCCGGGTTGACGAGGTTGACATTGGGAGGCACTATGCCCTGTAATAGTTGAGAGAGGGGAAAGCAGTAAAGGGATTGGAGAGGTGGGAAGGGGGGCAAGGGAGGGAGGCATTGGGGAGCAGGGAGCTTCCTTGAAAGACAGGGTCCGGGTTGATGAGGTTGACATTAGGAGGCACCATGCCCTGGAAGAATGGGAAGGGGGGAAGCCAAAGGGGGGTTGGAGAGGAGCGTGGAGGGATTGGAGGGAAGGGAGAAATGGAAGGGTTTGAATTGACGAGGTTGACATTAGGAGGCACATGCCCTGGAAGAGTGGTAAGGGGAAGTCGAAGAGGAATTGGAGAGGAGTGTGAGGGATTGGAGGGAAGGGAGAAATGGAAGGGTCCGGGTTGACGAGGTTGACATTAGGAGGCACATGCCCTGTAAGAGTGGAGAGGAGAAGGTAGGCAGGGGGGGGGATTGGAGGGAAGGAAGGGAGAGGGGGGCAAGCATGGGGAAGAAATGACGATTGGGTTGACTTCAAAATCAAAGGGTTGACGCTGGGACGCACATTGGTTGATGTGGATGTGGCAGATTGGGTGACGTGGCAGATTTGGTGACGTGGCTCAGATTGACATTGAGTGCAATCACATCAGCACACTCACAATGTGTAGAGCCATGACTGTAACAGCTGCCTCCACTGCCCCTGCAGCTCACTCTATCACAGTGCCACACTGATAGCGTTTGCTCCTCACCACGACAGCAGCAGCGCCACGACAGCAGCAGTGCCATGACAGCAGCAGTGCCATGACAGCAGCAGTGCCATGACAGCAGCAGTGCCATGACAGCAGCAGTGCCATGACAGCAGCAGTGCCATGACAGCAGCAGTGCCATGACAGCAGCAGTGCCATGACAGCAGCAGTGCCATGACAGCAGCAGTGCCATGACAGCAGCACACTCACATGGTGTAGAGCCATGACTGCAACAGCTGCCTCTACCGCCCCCGCAGCCGTCATGACACGTGAGCATGTGAGCACCAAGTACAGAAACACTCACATGGTACAGAGCCATCACAGTAACAACTGCCTCCACTGCCCCTGCAGCTTTCATGCCATGACATTCTATCAAACACATGTGAGCACCAAGTACAGAAACACTCACATGGTGCAGAGCCATCACAGTAACAGCTGCCTCTACCGCACCTGCAGCCCCCAACAGATGACCCATCGCTCCCTGTTCATGCCGCATCCACATGTAGAGGAACATTTAGATCCGCACATACACATGCACATGCACACAAGCACATGCACATGCGCACATGCACATGCACGCACACACCACTTTTGGTGCAAGGGACAACACAGCCACAACCATTCATGAGGTGCATTATAAGTGAGGCAAATCCTAACCGAGGTGCCTCGAACCAAACCGAGCCAAAGTGAGAAATTCCAACACCATTTTAAGATGATAAATCACAACCTCGTTTGAAGAGCCTGTGTTTAACTAAACACCAAGTGGACAACATCTGCATACTCTGCTGGAGACTCATGAAAGAGGGGAGCTGCGTACCTTACTGGAGGAGAAAGCGAGGCCTCCTGAGAGTGCGTGTTGGTCAAATACAGCCTTGAGCGCCAGAGCTTCTATCTCGTCACCTATGAACAAACAACGTGAGGCACATGCAAGGAAACAATGCAGCACGTGAGGTACATGCGAGTTGAATCAAGGCTTCCATTGCCGCGAGTGGTTGCCGGTCGAACAAAGCCTTGAGAGCGACTTTTGAGTCGACTCAAAAGTCGCCAGGGATTCTATCGCACCTCCTGCAGAGAGACACGAGGGACATTTTGAGTGCCGAGGTCGCAATGAATTTTGAGCGCCCGTTTCTTTTTAGGCACCTCATACATATGTTCGTGTAAGATGAGCAACGTCTAATCTGAGTGCCGGGAGTACGTGTATGAAGAAGTGCTTTGAGACGTCTCAAAACGGTTTGTGTGAGATGAGCACCGTCTAATCTGGGGTCACAATGACATTAGATGGAAGGAGGATGGGGAGGAGTGGGCGGAGGTAGAACACTAATGGAAGGGTTTTGGTGCTCAGCGAGGGAGTGGAGGTGGCATGGGGTTGACTTTTGAGTTGACTACTTAAAAGGAAGGAAAGAGAGGAATTAAAAGACTAAGAGAAGGGGCTTACTCACCAAGGGGAGTGGAGGTGGCATGGGCGTTGAGGTACCCAATATCGGATGGTTGCAGGCCAGCCTGCGATAACCAGGGGTGGAGAGAGGTGGAGATTAAAGGGGTGCAAAGGGGTGGAGAGGGGTGAAAAGGAGGGGAGAGGGTGGAGAGGGGTGCAAAAGGGTGGAGAGGTTAGGAGGAACGCAGAGAGACAGTTTGAGTGAAGACCATAGAATGGTAATAAAGGGCAGAGAGAGGGATGTGAAGAGGGAGGGACAAAGGAAGAAGAATCTATCTTTGACGCTGGACAAACAGCTAACATGGGACCAGCTCCTCCTTGAGAGGAGTGCCGATGAGGTTCATTTCACACTCCCTGACTGAGCAGTGCCAGGGAGTGCCAATGAGGAGTGACAACAGCAACCTCTCCCTGTCTAAGTCGATAATTTTATCTTCAGCGCCGATGAGCTGCGCCGGCTCATCTACGAAAGAAACCTTCCCCTGGCTACGATGCAATTTTTGAGGGCCTAAAAAAATCTCTCCCTAGCTGAGCCGATGAGGTTATTTTCAGCGCCGATGATCTGCGCCGGCTCATCTACAGAAGAAACCTTCCCCTGGCTATGATGCAGATTTACCTGCTGGAGCGATCGAGAGTGGTGCATATCTCTAAGCATGAGTGCAACCACCAACTGGCTTGTTGGTCCAACAAACCTGTGGACCAACTGGCTTGAGCTGGTAGTTGCACTCAAGCTCAGAGATATGCACCACTCTCGATCGCTCCAGCAGGTACGTCTGCATCATTGGTGGTCTTCAGAGATTCCCATCATCATACCTGCTTTAGACCACCAGGTCAAATCATGCCTCCTTCGAGAGCAGCACGCATGCAGGAGCACAGCGCCCGTTGCGAGAGAGGACGGCTGTATGATGTGAAAGGCTTCAGCTGAACTGCTGTGAGGTGGTTCAGATGGAAGCAGTGTGTACCTTTTTGAGAGCAGCCCGCATGTAGAGCACTGCCCCCGTTGTGAGAGGGGAAGGCTGTGTGATGTGGAGGCAAGTCTAGGGCAACTGGCAAATGGAAGCAGCGCTCACCTCCTTGAGAGCAGCTCGCATGCAGAGCACTGCTCCAGTGGCGAGAGGGGAGGGCTGTGTGATGTGGAAGGCGTCTGCTGAACTGCCTGCTCCTCGAACCTCTGCGTACACCTTTGCACCGCGCTGCACCGCATGGTCTAGGTCCTGAGGAGATGGGGGTAAAGGAGAGAGTATAGGGAAGGAGGGACGGAGGAGATGGGCCTGACACTGGTGAATCGCCTGTTCCTCTAACCATTGTGGACAGCTCTGCACTGTGCTGCACCGCTCCTCACCGCACTACACTGCACCGGGCTGCACCCATTATGTTAAGGCAAGTTGACGTCAACCATACATCATCTCCAAACATGTTGACGTCATCATCATACGTGTTGACATCATCATCTGCATACATGTTGACGTCATCATCTGCATACATGTTTGACCCTGATTTATTTGGGCGTGTTTTTAGAGAATTCTAAAAAATCAGTTTCAGTATGACATCCTATTTTTTTTACATCCTCACATACCGGCATGCTGACATGCTGCTGACATGCTGCTGCAATACTGACAGCTGACATCCTCACATGCTGAAATCCCAAGATACTGACATCCTGACATGCCAACATGCCGACATGCCGACAACCTGCATATGCTTGCTCCCCTTACACTCTCCCATCCGCACTACTCCCTCTGAATACGCACCTCTAGGATCAAAACGCCTGCTCCCTCTGCCATTCTGCAAAGAGAGAGGATGCAGCAGGAGGGTGTAGCAGCAATCGAGAGGGTGCAGGAGGGAGGGCACGTTAAGAGAGATGCAGAGTCTCAGAAATGAGGGGAAAAGGAACAAACGAAGGAGGAAAGCTTTAAGAGGAGTGAATGGGATGAGGGCGTGAGAATGGAGGGAGAGACAGTCAGCGTGTGGCAATATGGGGAAGGGCAATGGGGGAGGGGAATGGGGAAGGGGGTTGGGAAAGGGGGATGGCAAAGGGGGTTCGAAAGGGGAAGGGGGTTTGGAAAGGGGGATGGCGAAGGGGGTTGGGGAAGGGGCATGCACACGAATGGCATGGTTCGCAAGGGGAATGGGGCACAGTAATGGAATGAGGAAAGGGAACGGAAGGAGGCAAGGCACGCACACGAATCCATCTCTTGACTTGTCAAACGGCCAAGGCGACTTTTAGGTCAACTCAGACATGCAGGAAGGAGGATGGTACAGAGGGGTTTGGAAGAGGCCACGCACACGAATCCATCTCTAGACTTGTCAAATGGCCGAGAGGCAAGGTGGGGTGTGTCGTTGAATCGAGTGCTGAGTGCTCGCATGCTGGTGGGGGGAAGGGGGTAAAGGGGGAGTGGGAGAAGGGAGAGTGGAAGAAGGGGGAGTGGGAGAAGGGGGAGTGGGAGAAGGGGAGTGGAAGAAGGGGGAGTGGGAGAAGGGGGAGTGGGAGAAGGGGAGTGGGAGAAGGGGAGTGGGAGAAGGGGTGGGCTGGGCGCAGGGGTGAACAAAGTGCTGAGTGCCATGACCTGCCACCCACATGACCTGCCACCCACATGACCTGCCACCCACATGACCTGCCACCCACATGACCTGCCACCCACATGACCTGCCACCCACATGACCTGCCACCCACATGACCTGCCACCCACATGACCTGCCACCCACATGACCTGCCACCCACATGACCTGCCACCCACATGACCTGCCACCCACATGACCTGCCACCCACATGACCTGCCACCCACATGACCTGCCACCCACATGACCTGCCACCCACATGACCTGCCACCCACATGACCTGCCACCCACATGACCTGCCACCCACATGACCTGCCACCCACATGACCTGCCACCCACATGACCTGCCACCCACATGACCTGCCACCCACATGACCTGCCACCCACATGACCTGCCACCCACATGACCTGCCACCCACATGACCTGCCACCCACATGACCTGCCACCCACATGACCTGCCACCCACATGACCTGCCACCCACATGACCTGCCACCCACATGACCTGCCACCCACATGACCTGCCACCCACATGACCTGCCACCCACATGACCTGCCACCCACATGACCTGCCACCCACATGACCTGCCACCCACATGACCTGCCACCCACATGACCTGCCACCCACATGACCTGCCACCCACATGACCTGCCACCCACATGACCTGCCACCCACATGACCTGCCACCCACATGACCTGCCACCCACATGACCTGCCACCCACATGACCTGCCACCCACATGACCTGCCACCCACATGACCTGCCACCCACATGACCTGCCACCCACATGACCTGCCACCCACATGACCTGCCACCCACATGACCTGCCACCCACATGACCTGCCACCCACATGACCTGCCACCCACATGACCTGCCACCCACATGACCTGCCACCCACATGACCTGCCACCCACATGACCTGCCACCCACATGACCTGCCACCCACATGACCTGCCACCCACATGACCTGCCACCCACATGACCTGCCACCCACATGACCTGCCACCCACATGACCTGCCACCCACATGACCTGCCACCCACATGACCTGCCACCCACATGACCTGCCACCCACATGACCTGCCACCCACATGACCTGCCACCCACATGACCTGCCACCCACATGACCTGCCACCCACATGACCTGCCACCCACATGACCTGCCACCCACATGACCTGCCACCCACATGACCTGCCACCCACATGACCTGCCACCCACATGACCTGCCACCCACATGACCTGCCACCCACATGACCTGCCACCCACATGACCTGCCACCCACATGACCTGCCACCCACATGACCTGCCACCCACATGACCTGCCACCCACATGACCTGCCACCCACATGACCTGCCACCCACATGACCTGCCACCCACATGACCTGCCACCCACATGACCTGCCACCCACATGACCTGCCACCCACATGACCTGCCACCCACATGACCTGCCACCCACATGACCTGCCACCCACATGACCTGCCACCCACATGACCTGCCACCCACATGACCTGCCACCCACATGACCTGCCACCCACATGACCTGCCACCCACATGACCTGCCACCCACATGACCTGCCACCCACATGACCTGCCACCCACATGACCTGCCACCCACATGACCTGCCACCCACATGACCTGCCACCCACATGACCTGCCACCCACATGACCTGCCACCCACATGACCTGCCACCCACATGACCTGCCACCCACATGACCTGCCACCCACATGACCTGCCACCCACATGACCTGCCACCCACATGACCTGCCACCCACATGACCTGCCACCCACATGACCTGCCACCCACATGACCTGCCACCCACATGACCTGCCACCCACATGACCTGCCACCCACATGACCTGCCACCCACATGACCTGCCACCCACATGACCTGCCACCCACATGACCTGCCACCCACATGACCTGCCACCCACATGACCTGCCACCCACATGACCTGCCACCCACATGACCTGCCACCCACATGACCTGCCACCCACATGACCTGCCACCCACATGACCTGCCACCCACATGACCTGCCACCCACATGACCTGCCACCCACATGACCTGCCACCCACATGACCTGCCACCCACATGACCTGCCACCCACATGACCTGCCACCCACATGACCTGCCACCCACATGACCTGCCACCCACATGACCTGCCACCCACATGACCTGCCACCCACATGACCTGCCACCCACATGACCTGCCACCCACATGACCTGCCACCCACATGACCTGCCACCCACATGACCTGCCACCCACATGACCTGCCACCCACATGACCTGCCACCCACATGACCTGCCACCCACATGACCTGCCACCCACATGACCTGCCACCCACATGACCTGCCACCCACATGACCTGCCACCCACATGACCTGCCACCCACATGACCTGCCACCCACATGACCTGCCACCCACATGACCTGCCACCCACATGACCTGCCACCCACATGACCTGCCACCCACATGACCTGCCACCCACATGACCTGCCACCCACATGACCTGCCACCCACATGACCTGCCACCCACATGACCTGCCACCCACATGACCTGCCACCCACATGACCTGCCACCCACATGACCTGCCACCCACATGACCTGCCACCCACATGACCTGCCACCCACATGACCTGCCACCCACATGACCTGCCACCCACATGACCTGCCACCCACATGACCTGCCACCCACATGACCTGCCACCCACATGACCTGCCACCCACATGACCTGCCACCCACATGACCTGCCACCCACATGACCTGCCACCCACATGACCTGCCACCCACATGACCTGCCACCCACATGACCTGCCACCCACATGACCTGCCACCCACATGACCTGCCACCCACATGACCTGCCACCCACATGACCTGCCACCCACATGACCTGCCACCCACATGACCTGCCACCCACATGACCTGCCACCCACATGACCTGCCACCCACATGACCTGCCACCCACATGACCTGCCACCCACATGACCTGCCACCCACATGACCTGCCACCCACATGACCTGCCACCCACATGACCTGCCACCCACATGACCTGCCACCCACATGACCTGCCACCCACATGACCTGCCACCCACATGACCTGCCACCCACATGACCTGCCACCCACATGACCTGCCACCCACATGACCTGCCACCCACATGACCTGCCACCCACATGACCTGCCACCCACATGACCTGCCACCCACATGACCTGCCACCCACATGACCTGCCACCCACATGACCTGCCACCCACATGACCTGCCACCCACATGACCTGCCACCCACATGACCCCACCCACATGACCCACCACCCACATGACCCACCACCCACATGACCCACCACCCACATGACCCACCACCCACATGACCCACCACCCACATGACCCACCACCCACATGACCCACCACCCACATGACCCACCACCCACATGACCCACCACCCACATGACCCACCACCCACATGACCCACCACCCACATGACCCACCACCCACATGACCCACCACCCACATGACCCACCACCCACATGACCCACCACCCACTGCCCCCACTACCCACCGTGAGAAGCCAGCGAGGGACAGGGCATCAAGGCACGCCTCTGTGCCGCCCGCCACGATAACCATCCCCCAATGACCACCATCCACTGCTCACTGCCCTGCTCACCATTCAGCACCCATCCCCCATGGCTCACCGGGAGAAGCCAGCGAGGGAGAGGGCGTCGATGCAGGCCTCTGTGCCGCCCGCCACGATGACGTCAGCTGCTCCGCAGCGGACCAATCGGAAGGCGTCTGCGATGGCATGTGCTGACGAGGCGCACGCTGTCACTGACGCGTGATTGGGACCCTGATGGGAGGAGGGAGAGGATAGAAACGGAGAGAAGAACAAGCGGGAACAAGGGAGAAGAGGAAGAACAGTGAGAGGAGGAAGGAGGCATGCGCTGATGATGCACATGTTGTCACAGAGGCATGTTTGGAACCCTGATGGGTGGAAAAAGAGGGAAACGAGAAGAGGAAGGTGGCATGCGCTGATGATGCACATGTTGTCACCGAGGCGTGATGGGGCCCTGACTACAATCACACCGCCCATCACTAGTCACATCCGTTACAATCACACACACCACCCACCTTGAGGGGGTGGCGAATGCTGATGTTCCCGGCAGCCCATGTTGATGCGAACGTGCAAGCTGCGATCGTCCAGTCACAATGCTTACAAGCACTGCAATCACTCACACACAATCACTCACATACAGTCACATCACGTAATACCGCACCGCACCACTCCCCCCACCTTGAGGCGGTGGCGAATACTAATGTGTCCTGCGGCCATGTTGATGAGAATGCTACGATCGCCCACCTCACCACCTACACTCACACCACCCATCATTACAGTCACACCCTTGACAGTCACGTCACCTTGAGGCGGTGGCGAATGCTGATGTGCCCTGCGGCCATGTTGATGAGAATGCACGGCACAAAGTGTGGCGAGATGCGCCTTGGCTTCTGCTCAGGAAGGAGGAGAGGGGAGAGGGATGAGAACGGGGGTTACACGTATTAGATTATATCAGATCGGATCGGATCAAATCAGATTGGATCAGATCAATCAGATCGGATCAGATCAGATTAGGCAGAGAATGGAGCGAGAAGCACAGCAGCCATGTTGATGAGGATGCCTGTCACAAATTGCGGTGATATGTGCTCCGGCTTTTGCTCATGGAGTGGGAGTGGGAGGGAATGAAGGCTACTTGAGGTGGTTCATATATGGGTGAGATACGAAGAGGAGAGAGTGGAAAGTGGAAAGTGGAAAGTGGAGAGTGAGAGAGCAGTGCATGCTGATGCTCCCCTCCCTCCACCTAGTACCCGCACCTGTTCCCCTTCCCCCCCACATGCTCCCACCTTTTCGCTTACTACCCCCAATGCCTCCACCTGCGCCCCTCACTTTCTCCAATGCTATGCACGCAGCCCCTCCCCCCCCCCCTCAATGCACGCACCTGCTCAAAGAGTAGGTGGCCTGCTGCTGCCACCTCACCGATGCTCCTGATGCTCCCCCTCTCCCCCTCATTGAACCGTCTCCCCCTCCCATTGCACGCATCCCCCCCCCCCCCTCAATGCACGCACCTGTTCAAAGAGTAGGTGGCCTGCTGCTGCCACCTCACTGATACAGCCGATGCCTCCCCCCACACACACTCCCTGGTTGGGTGGGAGGGACAGGAGCACATGGGGATACGATGAGGGAAAGGCGGAGGATAAGGAAGGTATATGCCTTCATCAGTTCCTGCCTGCCTGCCTGCCTGCCACCTCGCTGATGCTGCCGATGCCTTCCCCCACACACACTCCCTGGGTGGGTGGGACAGGAGCGCATGGAGATACGATGAGGGAAAGGCGGAGGACAAATGAGGCAGGCCCAGCAGCAGCAGCAGCAGCAGCAGCAGCAGCAGCACAGCAGCAGCAGCAGCAGCAGCAGCAGCAGCAGCAGCAGCACCAGCAGCAGCAGCACCAGCAGCAGCAGCACCAGCAGCAGCAGCACCAGCAGCAGCAGCACCAGCAGCACCAGCACCAGCAGCGGCAGCTGCAACAGTAGCAGCATGCACTCACCGTTCTCACACGGTCCTCCTCCTCCTCTGGCATCCACCGCGCATCCATCATTGCTTCATCAGCTGCTCTTATCGCATGCTGCACAAACCGAGGCATTTCCTTCAACCCCCCACCAGCTGCACCACCGGCAGCAGCAGCAGCAGCGGGGATGGCAGCACCACCAGAACCGCCAGTACCAGCAGCATGCACTCACCATTCTCACACGGTCCTCCTCTTCCTCTGGCATCCACCGCGCATCCATCATTGCTTCATCAGCTGCTCTTATCGCATGCTGCACGAACCGAGGCATGCCCTCAAGACCTGATTTGGCAGCAGACCTGTCACTGTCTCCTTCCACCCCAGCATGACCAGCAGCAGGACCGTCAGGACGGTCATTAGCAGCAACAGGTGGCGCAGGAGGGGCAGCAGGGAGAGGAGGGACAACGCCAGCAATGCGAGAAGGCAGTTGGGAGAGCAGAGCAGCGGCGAGGCTGTCTGTCATGCCGGGAATGGCTATGTCCGATGGGGCCAGGGCGCGGATGGCGCTGCCTCCTCCTCCAATCAGGCGCTGCCACGTGGCAGTGGCGCCAACACCGAGAGGGGTCACCATGCCTATGCCTGGGAGGAAGGGCGCGGGAGGGTGGAGGGAGGGGGGAAGGGAGAGGAGGAAGAGAGGAGAGGAGAGGAGTCGTCTCAAAGGAGGCACAACACCAAGCATGTGAAAAGCGAGAGGAGTTGAGAGAGCAGGGCAGCGGCGAGGCTGTCTGTCATGCCGGGAATGGCTATGTCCGATGGGGTCAGCGCGCGGATGGCACTGCCTCCGCCAATCAGACGCTGCCACGTGGCAACGGAGCCGATGCCGAGAGGGGTCACCATGCCAATGCCTGGTGGGAATGTAGAGAAGAGAGAGAGGGGAGGGAGGGGAGACGAGACGTCAAAAAGGAGGGACAGGAGGGACAACGCCAGCGATGCGAGAGGGGAGCTGGGAGAGCAGGGCAGCGGCGAGGCTGTCTGTCATGCCGGGAATGGCTATGTCCGATGGGGTCAGGGCGCGGATGGCACTGTTTCCTCCGCCAATCAGGCCCTGCCACGTGGCAGTGGCGCCCACGCAGAGAGGGGTCACCATGCCAACGCCTGGGGGAAAGGGAGAGAGGGGGAGAGGGGGAAAAGACGGGGAGAGAGATGAGAGGGAGGGGAGAGAGGGGGAGAGGGGGATAAGATGGGGAGAGAGATGGGAGGGACGGGAGAGAGGGGTTCAGGTTAGGGCTCAGATTGTTACTGTGGAACCTCGTACTTGTGACAACGACCCGCAGTTGCGGCATGGGAAGGGGAGGTGACAAGGACCCACAGCTGCGGGCAGACCCACGTGCCGGTCACCACCAAATAACCTGAAACGGCTCTGAGCTGAAAGAACTGCAGTCAGGGAGGAGGGAAAAGCGTACCAGTGACAACGACCCGCCTTTGCGGCATGGGAGGGGGAGGCGGCAGCTGGGGGAGGTCTTTGTGCTGCGGTAATGGCTGCTGCGGAGGACGCGCAAACGGGGACGATGGTGGTGCGGCGGTGCTAGTAGAAAACGGGCGGACGGAGTGAGGGGAGGAGTGCGGGGAGAGGGAGTGAGGGAACGACGAGTTCAAAGAGTTGCCGGCTGCTATGGAAGGGTCTGCGGGAACTGAAGCGCCGGACGGGCTTGAAGCAGACGAGAGCATGCGAGACGATTCCCGGGCCAACGCTGATCCAGAAACGGCTGAGATTGCTGCTGCTGCGGAATGGATGGCTGAGATGAGCGCTGGATGGGTACTGGCGACGGGATGCAGGGAACGAGCGAGGGCCTCGAGAACGCCGCTGTGAATGGCCATGGTGGAAAATGTGCAATCTGGCTCACTTCGACTGAGATCTCGAGAGATGTGAAATGGCGAACGTAGAAGATAGGGAAGATTCGCCTCAAAGGGTGATATTCTGAAAGAATGTGCTATGCGCCAGAGCAAAGAAACTCCACATAAGAAATACGCTGACTAACAAAACGCGGATGAAATACCATACACTACTTTCCACACGAAGATGTTGTCTGTATTTGAATGCCGTCGACTGAGCTTGCCAGGACAACCAGCACTGAAATCTACCTGCTGTCGTCGCGTTATCTGGTCTGGACGAATTTCTTCCTCACATGCTTTCTCTTCCATGCTTCTGTTCCACAATTACTCGTTATTGGCGCCGGAAAATTGTTACACTGGAACTGGATGTACTAAAAAAATCCAACACTTCCAGACTCACTCAACTGAGCGGAGCAATGTATCAACAAGTACCTTGATATAGTCTCTAGAGGAAGATTGGACTAATCTGGTATACTATTCTTAGTGACAACTAAACTTTCCCAAGCCTACCTGTCCGTCAATAACAAATGCGCTAAGTAAAGATGCAGCAATACAGGAAACGAGAGCAAGCTTGCTTTGCCCTTCGGCTAGTAAATTATGTACAAGGAACAATCCCCATTGTATGCTTCTGACTGACACTCTTCAGGTTGTGGCTACGTGTGAACTTTATGAAGGGTATAGGAATCAACGACGTCTTGCACCTCCAGTATAATCTTCCGCGCGTCTAATCCAGACAGTTCATGGCTTCTGAAAAGGCTCTCAGCATCCGGAACATCTTGTGGCTGTTGCAAACCGCAAGCTAATAGTAGAGCAAACTCTTTGGATTCCTGCAAAACAATACGGAGAGTCATTAATTGGACTGCTTGGCTTGAAATGAAGCATTGTACCAGAAAATTAGGTCTTACCGCAGCAATATCTTTCGCGTACACGTGCTGGCGTTGTCGGCTATCTAGTTGCGACGAGGACACAATATCCTCTACTCTGACGGTGATTGTTTCCTCAACCTGAAAGATAAAGCCTTTAAAAAACGATTAGAAAAAGAAGACACGAAAGTTCGTGGCAGAAAGTTGGGTCGACGATTTTGTTCACACCTTGTCAAGTTCGTAAAGAAGGTCAAGAGGTGCACGCCGGCGAGCACATCTGAGCCGAATCTCCTTGTCCGAAACCTGGTTTTCATCGGAAACAATAGGAGAAGGTTCAATATGGAGAACCGTCGCTGGGGAAGTCATCCACGGCAATAGTTGACAAGGGGAGTTCTCAACGGCATTTCGAGAATCTCCTTGGAAACTCGAATCGTTATTCTGTCCTCTCGGAGAAGAACAGTCAGACTCTCTGTCGACGTAAATGGTAGCACTTCTACGCTCGCGAAGACCGGATGATGAAAAGGCTTCGGAATTGATGGAAGGTTGAGAAACAGCCTGATCATTTGCAAACGAGTCGATCATGTCAGACTCTCTGTCGACATAGATCGCAGCACTCCTACGCTGACGAATACCACACGAAGAATCCATGGATGGATGGAACTAAGAAATCGCAAGAGTCGAAGTATGAAACGACTAAGCAGAGGAGTGAGATTGATAACTTGGAATAAGGGGGCCTGTCCGTCGGCATTTATGCTGATCAGTCGAAATGAAAGCATGATTCCGCCTCACACGGATGTCGAAAACATCGGACTCCCCCCCAGGCGTAGTCCGGGAATTCCTTGCACACATCTCGACCTGCCGAAAGGCTCCAGTTCACATCGCCAAATCCAGGTCCGATCCCAGACCTCTGATCACCCATGACTCGAAAGCTTCGGACTTGGGTATTGAAACCCATGACTTCGCCGAGCTTTTCGTGATACAAGTGTACACAGAGATAGTATAACGAGTACGAAACAATACCACCTAAGAATAACCGACTGATGACAACAGGAACTCTTCAAAAATCGAAGTTATGCAGATCCATGTGCAAAAAACCAACAAAATTAAGACTTATTTAAGATTTTTGTAATTATTTTATGTAAGTTCCTCTATCAAAGTAGTCTCCCAAAAATTTGTTGCTGTAACATTTCTCCAGCGATGGGAACCTTTTTATGGAGGATGAACTCCGCATTGTGCTGGACGGGAGGGTCGTCGTCTATCAGAGGACCAAAAATAGATTTCCAGCGCACGAGTAGTTGCACCCGATCCGTGCGACACTTGGCGCGACACGACTGTTTGTCGCTCCTCCCGCAAATAGCATGGCGGCGCCGTCGTCTCTGCTCCGAGCGGGCTTCAGATCCGCACGAGACGCGCTGAACCGCGGCGACAGATGCAGCGTAAGGATCTGCGTGTCAGGTGCTGCGTAGTAAGACGCACCGGCGACGTATCTCCGAGTTACATTGTAACAGCAATCGGAAATACTGTCATTGTCTGCGGAATCACATACTCGATGTCACAGCTGCAGCGTAAGACACACCAGATCCCGAAGTTACATCGTAGCAGTGTCCCAATCTCCAAGGTCTAACCGTGCAAGGCATTAGAAACGAGAGATTCGAATCAAAACCGCGCGATACAAACGGGCAGAAGTGTCTCGACCGACCTCAATTGTTCATTCAACTGTCCCACCCTTTTTTCAGCTTCGGACTGCCGGAAGTTTCTTTCCGCGGGCGCTACAGCAGCTCCAGCCCCCAGTGCTTTCGGGGAAGCAGCGTTTCCAGCGCAGTGCTCTGCGGCCGCGCCTCCAGATACACGACTTGACATCAGAAACGCACGAGAGAAAGTGGCTGCCTTAGCCTCCCTCTCAGCTGTTCCTTCAACTGTCAACCTGCCCCTCCCCCCACCCATGTTCCAGTTTCAAGCTGCTGGAAATCACTTCTCGCGGGCGATACAGCAGCTCCAGCCCTCCGAGCGCGCCGAGTTCAGCACTCAAAGTGGCAGTGCTGGAGAAGTGCGGATCCAGCGCAGCAATCTGCCGCTGGTGCTGAAAGTGGCATTGTCGTGGGGGAAGCGGCATTCCTCAGCTATTCGTTCAATGGTCAACTTGCCCCCCCTCCCACCCCATTTCACCTTCAGACTGCTGCCAATCTCTTCCCGCGGGCGATACAGCAGCTCCAACAACGCTCCGAGCGCGCCGACTTCAGCACTGAAATCGGCAGTGTTGCTGGGGAAGCGGCAGTTTGAGTCGACTCAAAAGCCAACCTGCCCCTTTTCCCATCCTTTCTTCACCTTCAGGCTGCTTGCAATCTCTTCCCGCGGGCGCTACAGCAGCTCCAACGACCCTCCGAGCGCGCCGACTTCAGCACAGAAAGTGGCAGTGATGCCGGAGAAGTGACGTCTTCAGCGCAACACTCTATTCCTGGTACTGGTGCTGCTGGTGCCGGTGCTGCTGATGCAGGCGCTGCTGCTGGTGATGGTGCTGCAGCTGCTTCAAGCAATGCTGCTGCAACTGACGCTGCGTCGAGCGGTGCTGCTGCGGTGACGAGCGGTGCGGATGGGTCTAGTGCGGTGCTGGCGAAGCTGCTCAACGTGCCTCGCATGATGCTCAAGGAGGAGGTTCTGCGATCCTTCCGCTACGCTGCGCCTGCGCTGACGCCAGCCGACGTGTTCACTGTGTTGGACGACCGGCTTCACACGCTGCACTGGTACGGTGCAGTGCGGTGCAGTGTGGCGTGGCATGGTATAGTGGGGTTCGAGATGGTGTGGTCCGGTGCTGGGTAGTTAATATAAGGGGGTGTGGAATCTCGTTCAGTGCTGATTCGCATGATGCTCAAGGAGGAGGTTCTGCGGTCCTTCCGCTATGCTGCGCCTGCGCTGACGCCAGCCGATGTGTTCACCGTGCTGGACGACCGGCTTCACATGCTGCACTGGTATGGTGCGGTGTGGTGCGATGTGGTGTGTTGCTATGTGGAGTGCGGGCCTGGGTGGTATAAGGGGGTCTGGAATCCCATCTGTTGCTCAATGTGCCCCACATGGTGCTCAAGGAGGAGCTTCTGAGGTCCCTCCGCAACCCTGCGCTGTCACCAGCTGACGTGTTCACTGTGCTGGACGACCGCCTGCACACTTTGCACTGGTATGGTGCAGTGCGGTGGGATGCGGTGTGATACGGTACGGTGTGGTGTGGTGAGGTTCAGTGTGGTGCAATAAGGTGCGATATGGTGGAATGCGGTGCTGGGTGGTAAAAGGGGGTGTGGAATCCAGTCTGCTGCTCAACGTGCCCCGCATGATGCTCAAGGAGGAGGTTCTGAGATCCTTCCGCTACGCTGCGCCTGCGCTGACGCCAGCCGACGTGTTCACTGTGTTGGACGACCGGCTGCACACTCTGCACTGGTACGGTGCAGTGCGGTGCAGTGTGTCGTGGCATGGTATAGTGGGGTTTGAGATGGCGGAGTGCGGTGCTGGGTGGTGTAAGGGGGTGTGGAATCTCGTGTGCTGCTCAACGTGCCCCGCATGATGCTCAAGGAGGAGCTTCTGCGATCCTTCCGCTACGCTGCGCCTGCGCTGACGCCAGCCGACGTGTTCACTGTGTTGGACGACCGGCTGCACACTCTGCACTGGTATAGCGGGGTGGAATGCGGTTCTGTGCAGTGCAGAGCGGTGCAGTGTGGTGCAGTGTGCGGTGTGATGTGGTACAGTGCGGTGAGGTGTGGTGTTTTTGTGGTGTGGTAAGGTGCGACATGGTGGGGTGCGGTGCTGGGTGGTATGAGGGAGTGTGGGATCTCATCGGCTGCTCAACGTGCCACGCATGGTGCTCAAGGAGGAGCTTCTGCGATCCTTCCGCTACGCTGCGGCGCAGCGTACTTGGATGCCAAGAAATATGCTTACAACGTAGGTATCCGGAATGGTGTGCTCTGGTGTGGTGCGGTAATGTGCTGTACGGAATGGTACAATGCAAGTATACTGTATTCGAATGTAGTGCAATGGTTCTCCCTGGCCTTCATCTCCCCGTGGACTCTCCACTCCTCTCCTCTCCTCTCATCTCCTCTCCTCTCCTCTCCTCTCCTCTCCTCTCCTCTCCTCTCCTCTCCTCTCCTCTCCTCTCCTCTCCTCTCCTCTCCTCTCCTCTCATCGCCGGTACAGGCAGCGCAAGTTCAAGTCAACCGAGGACTTCAACAAGGCCCGGGAGCTCGTGGACCACCAAGGGGAGCAGCACACAGATAATTCCCTCTTCTCCCCGTTCACCCTCCCCTCTCCTCTTCTCCTTCAACAAGGCCCGGGAGCTCGTGATCCGCTACACCAAGGGGAGCAGCCCACAGATGATTCCCTCTTCTCTCCCTTCACTCTCCTCTCCTCTCCTCTCCTCTCATCGCCGTTACAGGCAGCTCGAGGTCAAGTCAACTGAGGGCTTCAACAAGGCCCGGGAGCTCGTGGTCCTCTACACCAAGGGGAGCAGCCCACAGATGATTCCCTTCTCTCCCTTCACTCTCCTCTCCTCTCCTCTCCTCTCCTCTCCTCTCCTCTCCTCTCCTCTCCTCTCCTCTCCTCTCCTCTCCTCTCATCGCCGTTACAGGCAGCTCGAGGTCAAGTCAACTGAGGGCTTCAACAAGGCCCGGGAGCTCGTGGTCCGCTACACCAAGGGGAGCAGCCCACAAATCATTCCCTTTTCTCTGCCTTCACTCTCCTCTCTACTCCTCTCCTCTCCTCTCCTCTCATCTACTCTCCTCTCCTCTCATCTACTCTCCTCTCATCTCCTCTCCTCTCATCTCCTCTCCTCTCCTCTCCTCTCCTCTCCTCTCCTCTCCTCTCCTCTCCTCTCCTCTCCTCTCCTCTCCTCTGTAACTCCGATACAGGCAGCTCGAGTTCAAGTCAACAGAGGACTACAGCAAGGCCCGGGAGCTGGTGGAGATTTACAAAAGGGGGGGCTCGCGAAATGTCAGTGTTGAGCCGGCTCAACAGTCACCTCTATCCTCCCGTTCACTCTCCATCTCTCTCATCCCCGTTACAGGCAGCTCGAGTTCAAGTCACCAGAGGACTACTGCAAGGCCCGGGATCTCATGGAAAATTTCAAAAGGCAGGGCTCGCGGATACGCCTCCAAGAGGTGTGTTCTGGGGGAAGTGGTAGCTGCGTTGGTGTGGTTGGGGCGTGGTTAGGGTTTGATTCGACTCAGCAAGGCCCGGGAGCTCATGGAGATTTATTAGAGGGGAAGGGTTCATGGATTCAGCTCCAAGAGGTGTGTTCTGGGGGCGGTGGTAGCCGTGGGTGTGGGGGGAGAAGAATGCTGGGTGAGGGTCTGATTCGACCATGGAGCTCATGGATCAGACCCTCACCCAGCATTGTTCTCCCCCCACACCCACAGCTAAACTAGGGAGCTCATGGAGCTTTACAAGAGGGGGGGCTCGCGGATTCGGCTCCAAGAGGTGTGTTCTTCGGGGGGAGGTGGTAGCTGCCTGCGTTGGTGCGGGTAGGCTTGGATTAAGTCAACGAGGCCCGGGAGCTCGTCGAGCTCTACAAGAGGGGAGGGTCGCGGATACGCCTACAAGAGGTGGGTTATGGGGGAGGTGGTAGCTGCCTGCGTTGGTGCGGGTAGGGCTGGTTTTGACTCAACGAGGCGCGGGAGCTCGTGGAGCTTCACAAGAGGGGGGGGCTCGCGTATGCGGCTCCAAGAGGTGTGTTCTGGGGGAGGTGGTAGCTGTGTATGTGCTTTACGTGCGGGAGAAGGGTGGGGGGAGGGGAGGGGTGGGCAGGAGTGGAGGGCTTGTGGTGGGGGGATCGCAGATGCGGCTCCAAGTGGTGCGTTCTGGGGGAGGTGCTAGCTGCGTTGGTGTGGGGCAGTGGGGGAGACGGTTTGAGTCGATTCACCTGGTGCGTCCAATTGGGGGGGCTCGCAGGTGCAACTCCCTTGGGTGCGTTCTGGGGGCGGTGCTAGCCGTGTGCTTGCAGGGGTCGGGTGGTTGAGCTGGGGTGCTAGTCCCTCTCCCGCTACCTCTCCCTCTCCGCCTACCGCTCGCAGTTGTCTCCCAGGGACCACGAGCTGGCGTTCCACAAGAGGCATCACAATGCCTCATGGCTGTTAGGGCTGCTAGACTATCAAGTGCCAGTTGTCCCCCTCTCCCTCTGCCTCTCTTTTCCTCTGCCTTCGCCCAGCTGTCTCCCAGGGACCACGAGCTGGCGTTCCACAAGAGGCATCACAATGCGGAGCTTCGCCAGTGGAGAGACGTCTCGGTGAGATGCTTCCCTCCTGCTTGCTGCCTGCTGCTTGCTGCTTGCTTCTTGCTGTGTTTGCCATTTGCTGCTTTCTTCTTACTAGCTGCTACTTACTGCTTTGCTCTGTTTTCTCTTTGCTGCGTGCCGCTTGCTGCGTCCTTATTGCTGCTTGGTGCTGTTGTGTGCTTCTTGCTCCTTGTTGCTTGCTGCTTACTCTTTTTGCCGCTTTTGTCAAGACTCCCTTTCAGTTTGAAATTTCAGCACTGTATCTCCCAATATAATAATCTGTTGATTAAGAGACAATTCTTGAGGCGCCTCAAAACTCCTCTGGGGATGAGAAGAGCGAGTGAGGGGATAAGACTTTTGAGACGTCTCAAACAGAGCCTTAAAACTCCTATGAGGATGAGAAGAGTGAGGGGATAGGCCAACTTGTTGACCACTGCTCTCCCCCCTCATCTTAGCCCCTCTGTCTGCCTCCGTTGCTGAACCTCCGCTTTCATTCCCGACTGCCTCTCTCCGTTTCACCCTCCTCCTCCACTTTATGTCCACCCCTCTGAGCTCCTTATGACGGGGTTCCATCTGCTTTCATATCGTGAGGCAGCCCCATAATAATGAGCTTAGAGGGGGTGGCATAAAGGGAGGAGGAGGGTAAAACAAAGAGAGGCAGCCGGGCACGAGAGAGGAGGCCCGGCAAGCGAGGCAGTCAGTGGGGCTGAGGCGACGGGGAGGAGCAGTAGTCAACAAGCTGGTCTATCTCCTCAGTCGTTGAACGTTGCAATTTGAGATGTCTCGAAATAAGAGGAGGGGGAGCAGTAGTCAACAAGCTGGTCTATCTCCTCAGTCGTTGAACGTTGCAATTTGAGATGTCTCGAAAGAAGAGGAGGGGGAGCAGTAGTCATCAAGCTGGTCTATCTCCTCAGTCGTTAAACGTTGCATTTTGAGATGTCTCAAAATGCGAGGAGGGGGGAATGGTCAACAAGCTGGTCTATCTCCTCAGTCGTAGAATACTGTGCATCCCTCAAGCCCCTTTGCTCGCCTCTCTATCTTTCTCTATCTGCCTTTGTCCATCTCTCCTCGTCATGACGGGACTCCCAGGCGATGTCAAATCGGGCGGCATAGAGCAGTTCTTTGAGGACTACATGCTGCACCCGCCCTCCATGTACCACGTCCTCTCAGCTCATCATGATGCAATTCTTCGTTGTCCCCTCCCCTTCTCTCTCTCAGCGTATTATGGTGGGACTTCCAGATGATGTGAAGACGGATGACATAGAGCAGTTCTTTGAAGACTACATGCTGCACCCGCCGCTACTGCCTTCCTCTCTTGCCCCATCCGCCTCTCTTTTTTTTCCCTCTCGATTCCCTTCCCCCCGTCCTGACTCCCTCTCAGCTCATCATGACCGGCTTTCCAGATGATGTGAAGACGGACGACATAGAGCAGTTCTTTCAAGACTACATGCTGCACCACATCCGCCCGTCCCTTCTCACCTCCACCTCTCTCTGTCTGTCTTCGTTCCTCTTTCCTCACACCTTCAGCTCATCATGACAGGGTTGCCAGATGATGTGAAGACAGACGACATAGAGCAGTTCTTTGAAGACTACATGCTGCACCCGCCCCCTCTGCCTTCCTCTCTTGGATAATCTGCCTCCATCCGTCCATCTCTTTCTCCATTCCCTCAGCTCATCATGACCGGCCTCCCGGATGACGTAAAGACGGACGACATAGAGCAGTTTTTCGAGGATTACATGCTGCACCCGCCCTCAGTGTACCATGTCAGAATGTGAGTTTGCCATGTCAGGTTGTGAGTTTGCCACGTCTGAATGTGAGTCTGCCACGTCAGGATTTGAGTATGCCACATCAGGGTGTCAGTCTGCCACGTCCGGATGTGAGTTTGCCATGTCATTATGTGACGGTTTGCCATGTCAGAGCGTGAGTTTGCCACATTAGGATGTGAATTTGCCACGTCAGGATGTGAGTTTGCCACGTCACGATGCGAGTTTCCCATGTCAGGATGTGAGTTTGTCGCGTGTGATTTGCCACGTCAGGATGTGAGTTTGCCTCGTCATGATGTGAGTTTGCCTTGTCATTAAGTGAGTCTGCCGCGTGTGAGTTGCCACGTCAGGATGAGAGTTTGCCATGTCAGGGGCACAAGGGCAGAGCATTTTTGTGAGGCTGCGCATGAAGGGCGAGACGCGGCCGATAGTGGATTTGGTGGAGCGCCAGGGATGATAATCTGCTCTCTGTCCCCCCCTCTTCCGCTTTCCCTTTCCCCATCACCAGAGAGCGCAGGGGAGTCCCCACTCCCATGCGGCTGCGCATGAAAGGGGAGACACGGCCGATTTTGGACCAAGGGCGATGATCTGCTCTATGCTCCCCTCTCTTCCTCTTTCTCCTTTCCCCATCACCAGAGAACGGCGAGGTGTCCCCACTCCTATGCGGCTGCGCATGAAAGGGGAGACGCGGCCGATAGTGGATTTGGTGGAGCATCAGGGGTGATAATCTGCCATCTGTTTCTCCCCATTCTTCCCCTTGTCCCCAATCACCAGCGAACGCAGGGGTGTCCCCACGCCCATGCGGCTGCGCATGAAAGGGGAGACGCGGCCGATAGTGGATCTGGTGGAGCATCAGGGGTGATAATCTGCCATCTGTTTCTCCCCATTCTTCCCCTTGTCCCCAATCACCAGCGAACGCAGGGGTGTCCCCACGCCCATGCGGCTGCGCATGAAAGGGGAGACGCGGCCGATAGTCGATCTGGTGGAGCGCCGTGCCGTGGTGCGATTCGCCAGCCAGCTGGAAGCGCTGAGGGCTTTAAGAGAGAAGCATAGAGAGTTCATTGGCGACCGAATGGTTGAGCTCAGCCTTCTACAGTAGTTTTGTATTGGGTTGAGATATCTAGGAGAACGATCATGGAGCAGAGCACCGTGCCGTGGTGCGATTCGCAAACCAGCTGGAGGCGCTGAGGGCGCTGAGGGACAAGCACCACCGGGGTCCAGGAGTTTCTGAGGGACCGGATGGTCGAGGTTACCGTAGTCTTCTGCAGTAGTTTTGTATTGAGTTGTAACATCTAGAAGAAGAGTAGAGGAGCGCTCTGTGGCGTGGTGTGGTTTGCCTGCCAGCTGGAGGCGCTGAGAAGCACCGGGATTTCCTGGGTGACCTGACCAGCTGGTCGAACTCAGCCCCCTAAAGTGAATTTTGTATGGAGGTACCGTAAGTCCTATAACTGTGGTCCAGAAATAAGGGAAAGGGAGGACGACTGTATACCTATTCATGGACTTTCTGAAAATGGATACTGTCTTTCCTGAATGACATGCAGAACATCAATCAGGGTAGAGTAAAAACTGCGCACGAATGGTCGAGAACCACATGAGCTGCGGTTGCCACCCGGCTTTAATCTCATCGACACTCCTACCCCCATCTCATCCACCCCGTTAAGAGTACAGCAAGTACTGTGCACGAATGGTTGAAAACCACATGAGCTGCGGTTGCCACCCGGCTTTAATCTCGTCTACACTCCTACCAGAATCTATACCGTTTCTCAGACTGTCGCTACCAGCAAGCTTGTCGATCCAGAAGGGCCCGTTGGGAGAGTTGGTGGGGCTGTCGTTGCGCCAGTGGAAGTGGGAGGGGTAGATGGAGCGAGCTGTGATGAGAAGGATGAGAGCGAGGTGGAGAGGTTCGAAGGAAGCAGGGTCTGTGACGTGAATCTGGTGATGGGGGTGGGGGGGGGGGGATATGAAACAAGGGGGGAAGGAAAGGGAGAGTTGGTGGGGCTGTCGTTGCGCCAGTGGAAGTGGGAGGGGTAGAGGGAGCGAGTAGTGGTGAGGAGGATGAGAGCGAGACGGAGAGGGTAGAAGGAGGCCGGGTCGGTGACATGGATCTGGGAAATGGGAGTGGGGAAAATGGGAGAGGAAAGGGGAGGAGAGAATGAGGGAGAGTTGGTGGGGCTGTCGTTGCGCCAGTGGAAGTGGGAGGGGTAGAGGGTGCGAGCGATGGTGAGGAGGATGAGAGCGAGACGGAGAGGATCAAAGGCAGCAGGGTCTGTGACGTGAATCTGAGGAGGGGAGTTGGGGAGGAACATTAAAAGAAGAGGGGGGTTGGGAGGAAAGAGTGATATTAGGGCTGTAGTTGGGCCAGTGGAAGTGGGAGGGGTAGAGGATGATAGCTGGCAACAGGCGAGAAGGAAAAGGTGCCAGACAGAGCATGCTATACTTGTGGTTGTATTGCCACCTCAAAAACAGAATCCACTCTCCATAACAGCTCACCTCGATCCCACACACTTGCTTCCCAGAGTATTTGCCAGCAACAGGAGAAAAATAGGCCTCCCTGATTGCACACCCCGGGCACCGTTGATCTCGCACTGCCTGGGCGAATCGATGGTCCATAAACGGCGCTCCGATCTGAGTGAAGTCGGGGAGGAAAAGCACAACAGAAGGAGGGAAGGAAGGGTGATAGATGAAGGAGGGACGGAGAGAGGGAGAGAGAGAGAGGAGAGGGTGGTAAGGAGGGAGGGTGGGAGGGAGAGAAGGAGAAAAGGAGGGAGGTAATGAGGGGGGATAAGTTTGATCAAAAGGATGGAAGAAGGCGTTCCTGATGGCACATCCCGGACACCGTTGATTCCGCACTGCCTGGGCAAATCGATGGCCCGGAAATGGCGCTCCGATATGAGCGGAATTCGAGGAGGAGGAGGAGAACACATTGACCTTTTACATCGACCTTTAACATCGACCTGTGTTGGTGTATTTGGTGTATGCTTTCGGGTATGTGTTGATGTGGTATCTATATCTGGCTTTGCTGTGGTAGCCGCACCTTGTTTTTGAGAATTCTAAAAAACCAGCTCATATCTGGCTTCGCTGCGGTAGCCGCACCTTGTTTTTGAGAATTCTCAAAAACCAGCTCATATCTGGCTTCGCTGCGGTAGCCGCACCTTGTGCTGCCCCTCGCAAATCAATGTATCTAAATCCCTTTCGTCCGCTCCATCTTCCTCTTTATCACGCTCCTCTTTATCACGCTCCTCTTTATCACGCTCCTCTTTATCACGCTCCTCTTTATCACGCTCCTCTTTATCACGCTCCTCTTTATCACGCTCCTCTTTCTCCCGCTCCTCTTTATCACGCTCCTCTTTATCACGCTCCTCTTTCTCCCGCTCCTCTTTATCACGCTCCTCTTTATCACGCTCCTCTTTATCACGCTCCTCTTTATCACGCTCCTCTTTATCACGCTCCTCTTTATCACGCTCCTCTTTATCACGCTCCTCTTTCTCCCGCTCCTCTTTATCACGCTCCTCTTTATCACGCTCCTCTTTCTCCCGCTCCTCTTTATCACGCTCCTCTTTATCACGCTCCTCTTTATCACGCTCCTCTTTATCACGCTCCTCTTTATCACGCTCCTCTTTATCACGCTCCTCTTTATCACGCTCCTCTTTATCACGCTCCTCTTTATCACGCTCCTCTTTATCACGCTCCTCTTTATCACGCTCCTCTTTATCACGCTCCTCGTGCCGCCCATTGCGTCCCTTTCCATTCTGCCGCAACGCAATGCACTGGCCAGTCATGAGACATGTGTGCCACTTATCTAGCACACACAGCCGTAATTCGTCCGCTCCATCGTCCTCTTTCTCCCGCTCCTCGTGATCCTCGTGCCGTCCCTTACATCCCCTTCCATTCCACCTAGCACATGCACTGTACAAACTTTCCCCATCACTTCATACCAGCTGGAAGGGAAGGTCAGGGTTGTGTCTCAACCTTCACTCAGGTTCCCTCCCTGTTGTTTTGTCCCTGCAACTAGGTTTCCTGACAAGTACTTTCCCACTGCTGTCATTCCAGCTGGAATGTAAGGTCAGGGTTGTGTCTCACCCTTCACTCAGGTGCCCTCCCTGTTGACAGATTCAATTACATTGTAAGGACATCCCTGCAACTAGGTCTCCTGACAAGTACTTTCCCATCAGTGTCATACCAAAGGATTCTCTGTTGCTTTGTAAAAGACATCCCTGTAACTAGGTCCCTGACAATCCCTTACTCATCGGTATCATACCAGCTGGAAGGGTAGGGTTGTTCCGCGGCCTTCACTCAAGTTGGTTCCCTGAAAAGTGAGGCGTTAGAGGGGGTTTTGGAAGCATATAGGAATCGCTTTTCATCAAGGCCTCACCACTAAAATAATGGAAAGGTAAGCTTGAAGTTCAAAGGTGTCACAATATGTAGTTTAAGGGTGTCACAGAAAAAGGGCCTTGTGCAAGAAAAACTGGATAGGATTGGAATAATGGAAAGTTAAGTATATAGTTTAAAGGTTTCACAATATGAGCATAGCTCTATGAGACAAGTCCCAGCGTAGAGTCTACGCCGTAGACTAGCGCAGTGGTGGGTGTGGGCATGTTGGGCAGTCAGTGGGACACACCGAATCTTAACCGAATGCCAAGTACCCATGAGCTTACCTCTATGAGACACGTGCCAGCATAGACGAGCGCAGTAGTGGGTGTGGTGTGGGCATCTTGGGCGAAGGTGGGACCCACAGCGTCTCCACCTTACACAGCTCACACTCACGTAGCATAGCACAAGCACACATGAGCACACAACACAGCAAGAACGAGCATACCTCTATGAGACAAGTGCCAGCGTAGACGAGAGCACAGTCGTGGGCGTCGGCATGTTGGGCGACAGTGGACGGGTGGGAGTGAGACACACAGCATTCAGCCAAGCATATGCACAGATAAGACACAGTCACGCAGCACGTATAACTCGTTCGCAGCTGTAGCACCTGCCACTGAAGCAGCAGAACTTTACCTCTATGAGACACGTCCCAGCGTAGACGAGGGCAGTGGTGGGTGTGGGCATGTTGAGCGACGGTGGGACCCAGAGCAGCATCTTTACCAAACATGTAGCGCAAGCATACGTACGAGGCACACAAGCATACCTCTATAAGGCAAGTGCCAGCATAGACGAGCGCAGTCGTGGGAGAGGGCATGTTGAGCGGTCAGTAGGACCCACAGTATCTTAGCCGCACCTCAGGCACACATTGTATCTGCATACATGAGCATGCCCCATTATACCCCAGCCAAAGGTCGGGCTTACCTCGATGAGGCAAGTCCCGGCATATACGAGCGCAGTGGTGGGCGTGGGCATGTTGGGCGACGGTGGGACCCACAGCAGCGGCTGTAGCGCTGTGGGCACTGTGGCACTTGCAGCTGTAGCACCTGCCACTGTAGCAGATGACAATAATGCTGCCACTGTAGCGGGTGGGCTTATAGATGCCGATGGTGGTGCTTCTAGAGAGACATTATGCTGCTGGCTGGGAGCTGGTACTGGTTCGGTAGAATGTGAAGGGGAGGGGGAAGGAGGAGGGGCTGAGACAGGTGCAGGGGAATGAGAGGGGAGTGATGAGGGAGAGAGGAGAGGTTGTGGGTAGGGAAAGAAAGGGAAGAAGGGGGAGGAGGAGCGAGTCCAGCCTTCCATGTGCACCACTTCAAGCTTGAATGACGGAGAGAAGGGACGACTGGAGGTACTGCTGCTGCTGCTGCCGCTGTTGCTGGTGTGGGTGGTGGTGGTGGTGCTGCTGCTGTTGCTGGTGTGGGTGGTGGTGCTGCTGCTGCTGCTGGTGCTGCTGCCACTGCCGCCGCCACTGAGCTTGCCAAGGTGGGGGTCAGGTGGGAGGAACTCAGAGAAGAAGAGAAGGGCGAGTTCCCCGACCGTCATGCCGTGGCGTAGAGGGATGGCCTGAGAGAGGGGAGGGGGAGAGAATGGGGAGGCAGAGGCAGAGATTTGATGCTGGTGCTGGTGCTGCCGCTGCTGCTGTTGCTGCTGGTGCTGCTGCTGCTGACACTGTCGCCGCCACTGAGCTTGGCGAGGTGGGGGTCAGGTGGGAGGAACTCGGAGGAGAAGAGGAGGGCGAGCTCCCCGACCGTCATGCCGTGGTGGAGAGGGATGGCCTGAGAGAGGAACAGATGGGGGAGGGAGAGGCAGAGAGGTGAGACTTGGCAAGCTGGGCGAGTTGGTTGGGGATCAGCTGGGAGGAACTCGGAGGAGAAGAGGAGGGCGAGCTCTCCCACTGTCATGCCGTGGCGCAGAGGGATGGCCTGAACAGGGGAAAGAGAGGGTTTAGCATTGAAGGGTTTAAGTAGGTGGGGGTCAGGTGGGAGGAACTTGGAGAAGAAGAGGAGTGAGAGCTCGCCCACTGTCATTCCGCGGCGTAGCGGGATGGCCTGAAGGGGGAAAGAGAGGGTTTAGCGTTGAAGGGTTTAGGTGGGGGTCAGGTGGGAGGAACTCGGAGAAGAAGAGGAGGGCGAGCTCTCCCACTGTCATGCCGTGACGCAGGGGGATGGCCTGAAGGAAGGGGGTGAGAGAGAGAGTTTAGCATTGAAGGGTTTAGGTGGGAGTCAGGTGGGAGGAACTTGGAGAAGAAGAGGAGTGAGAGCTCGCCCACTGTCATTCCGCGGCGTAGCGGGATGGCCTGAAGGGGGAAAGAGAGGGTTTAGCGTTGAAGGGTTTAGGTGGGGTTCAGGTGGGAGGAACTCGGAGAAGAAGAGGAGGGCGAGCTCTCCCACTGTCATGCCGTGACGCAGGGGGATGGCCTGAAGGAAGGGGGTGAGAGAGAGAGTTTAGCATTGAAGGGTTTAGGTGGGAGTCAGGTGGGAGGAACTTGGAGAGAAGAAGAGGAGTGAGAGCTCGCCCACTGTCATTCCGCGGCGTAGCGGGATGGCCTGAAGGGGGAAAGAGAGGGTTTAGCGTTGAAGGGTTTAGGTGGGGTTCAGGTGGGAGGAACTCGGAGAAGAAGAGGAGGGCGAGCTCTCCCACTGTCATGCCGTGACGCAGGGGGATGGCCTGAAGGAAGGGGGTGAGAGAGAGAGTTTAGCATTGAAGGGTTTAGGTGGGAGTCAGGTGGGTGGGAGGAACTCGGAGAAGAAGAGGAGGGCGAGCTCGCCCATTGTCATGCCATGGCGTAGAGGGATGGCCTGAAGGGGGGAAAAGGGGGAGAAGGGAGAGAAGGGAGAAGGCAGACGCAGAGGCAGAGGCAGAGGCAGAGGCAGAGAGGTGGGAGTTGACAAGCTTGGCGAGGTGGGGTCAGGTGGGAGGAACTCGGAGAAGAAGGGGAATGGCCTAAAGGGGGAAAGTGACAGGAAGTGGGGGCAGCAGAGGAGTCACGGACAGGGGGGAGTAGGCATGCGATGCCAATCCCACACTTGGCCATAAGCTGTGTATGGCTTTTGAGAAATCTAAAAAAAGCCCGCACTAGGCCATTTGCTGTGAGCTATGAAGCATGTTGGGGGTCTGTCGAGCACAGAAAAACAGATTCGACCTGGATCCAACAGGTAACTCGACCTGGAGGTCTGTCGAGCACTGAAGGAAGTATGTGCTGTGGCACATGTGTGACAGGCCTGCTGGGGCGCTGTGACTGACTGGCCCATCGACCGTCCATCACCAGTCCGCCCAGCAGGTTGGGTCTGTGACTGTGAAGCCTATGTTGTGGCGCGCTGTGCTGTGCTGCTACTCATCTTCCTGCCAAAAAAAAAGGCGTGGCGTGTTGAGGGCTCTGTGACTGGCCCGTCCACCACCAGTCCGCCCAGTACGTTGGGTGAGCACGAGGAAGCGAGCAAGCAGTAATATCTGACATCTGCAGGTTGCATTGATGGAGTACGTACGGACCTTCCTGCCCACAAAGGAGGCGTGTTGAGGCTCTGTTATTGGTCCGTCCACCACCAGCCCGCCGAGCGGGTTGGGCCTATCGAGAATGAGGAAGCGGCGGATGGAGGAAGAGAGAGCAGCTGCAACGAGGCTTGGAGTGCTGTGAGGTACGGTACGGTGGAAGGGAGTTACTCACCTTCCGGCCAACAAAGGAGGCGTGTTGGGACTCCGTGACCGGCCCGTCCACCACCACGCCTCCCAACGGGTTGGGCCGCTCGAGCACGAGGAAGCGACGGAAGGAGGGAGAGGCATGGTGCATGCATGGTAGGGGCACTACTGACCTTTCTCCCAACGAAAGATGCGTGTTGGGGCTCTGTGATTGGCCCATCCACCACCGCGCCTCCCAGTGGATTGGGTCTGTCGAGCACGAGAAGCAGCGGATGGAAGGAGAGAGAGCAGCTGCAACTGAGTCGGAGGCAGGTTAAGTCTGTCGAGCACTAACCTTCCTGCCAACGAAGGAAGCGTGCTGAGGCTCTGTGACTGGCCCGTCCACCACCACCCCGCCGAGTGGGTTTGGTCTGTCGAGCACGAGGAAGCGGCGGATGGAAGGGGAGAGTGCAGCTGCGACGAAGCAGTAGCACTAACCTTCCTGCAGACAAAGGAAGCGTGCTGGGGCTCTGTGACCGGCCCGTCCACCACCACCCCTCCCAGTGGGTTCGGCCTGTCGAGCACGACAAAGCAATGGATGTGCTGTGTCATGTGCTGCGTTGCTACTAACTCACCTTTCTCCCAACAAAGGAGGCATGTTGGGGCTCCGTGACTGGCCCATCCACCACCAGCCCGGCCAGCAGGTTGGGTCTGTCGAGCACTGGCTAGTATGTGCTATGACACACGTGCTGGCAGGGATTATTTGATACATGGTGCCGTGAGAGCGACATACCTTCCTGCCAACAAATGAGGCGTGTTGGGGCTCTGTGACCAGCCCGTCCACCACCAGCCCTCCCAACGGGTTCGGCCTATCGAGCACGAGGAAGCGGCGGATGGAAGGGGAGGAGAGAGAGCAGCTGTGACGAAGCTACACACCTTTCTCCCGACAAAGGAGGCGTGCTGAGGCTCTGTTATCGGCCCGTCCACGACCAGACCTCCCAGCGGGTTGGGACTGTCGAGCACGAGGAAGCGGCGGATGGACGGGGAGAGGGCAGCTGCTACTGAGGAAGCGATGGATGTGCTGTGTCATGTGTTGCGTTGCTGCACACCTTTCTGCCAACGAACGAGGCGTGCTGAGGCTCTGTTACTGGCCCATCCACCACCAGTCCGCCGAGTGGGTTGGGCCTATCTAGCACGAGGAAGCGATGGATGGAAGGAGAGAGGGCAGCCGCAACGAGGCAGTCGTAGAGCGTCCAGATGAAGGTGTAGAAGCGAGCCTGGGGAAGAAGCGCAGGGGAGGGGGCGGGCAGCGAATGGAGGTAAGGGCGGGGCACAGCGGGTGGTGAAGGGAAGGGTTGAGGAGGGGGCAGCCGCAACGAGGCAGTCGTAGAGCGTCCAGATGAAGGTGTAGAAACGCGCCGGCAAGAGAAAGACCGCAGCGAACTCACCTCAACGCCCTGGATGTCAAACATAACCCAGTCCAGTGGTATCAATTGTTCCCCGTGTGCTCACAATCCCCACCGCACCGCACTGCATCGCACTGCACTGCATCGCACCGCGCTGCACCGGATAGCACTCACCCCAACATCTTGGATGTCAAACACGATGGTATTAAATGTTTCCTGTGTGCTGCTCACAACCCCAACCGCACCACACTGCATCACACCGTACTGCACCACATCGCACTCACCCCCACATCCTGAATGTCAAACACGATGGTATCAGCGCCAGAGGCTTCAAAACACTTGGCTATGGCTGGGGGATCCTGGCATGCAAAACAAGCGAGCAGCACAGGCAAGGGGATAGGTGGAAGGTTGGATCAGAACCGGGCAGAAAACTTTGACATAGTACGAGCGCCAGAGGCTTTGAATCGCATGGCTATGGCTAACTGGGTATCTTTTAGCACGCAAAGTGCACGAAGCACGCAAAGCAAAAAGGGAAAGACAAGAGAAAGGAAGATTGGAAGAGCGTTGTTTAGGCGCGTCAGAAAGGGAGATTGGAGACGAGAATGGGGCAGCAAGGGAGCAGCAAGGGAACAGCAAGAGGCAAGGCTGTCAATAACCAACCCCACTCCAAACTCGTCATGTTCCCTGCTCCCCCCACCTGCTCCGCCCACCTGCTCCCCCCACCTGCTCCCCCCACCTGCTCCCCCCACCTGCTCCCCCCACCTGCTCCCCCCACCTGCTCCGCCCACCTGCTCCCCCCCTGCTCCTCCCCTGCTCCCCCCCTGCTCCTCCCCTGCTTCCCCCCTTCTCCCCCCCTGCTCTCCCCCCCTGCCCCCCCCCCCCTGCTCCCCCACCCTGCTTACCCCACCTGCCTCCTCTGCTGCGCCTCCCCTGCGCCCCAACTACCCCTACCCTCTGTACTGCAGAGGGGAGAGCAGTCTTGGGATCCCTAAAGGCGGACTCTGTCTCACTGCCCTGACCCGTCTCTCATGCCAACCACGTGCCTTTTGCATCCCCTCTGCACTCACCTTCCCATAGAGATCGAATATGGGGAGACCCGTCTTGGGGTCTTTAGAAGTGGACTCTGACTTGCCTGCCTGCACGTTGGGTGGGATGGGGAGGATCGCAGCGGGAAGGAAGGGAAGAATGACAGGCTGAATTCAAAAAGACAAGGATGAGATTGGATATGGGAGGACCGGACTTGGGGTCTAGACGCGGATTCTGACTTGCCTGCCTGCATGGGCGGGTGGGGATGGAAGGGCCGCAGAGGGGAGGGGGAGGGGGAGGATAAGGAGGAGAGAGGGATGGGCAGACCGGTCTTGAGGTCTGTAGAGGCGGATTCTGACTTGCCTGCCTGCACGGGAGGGTGGTGGGGTGGGGAGGATCGCAGCGGGAAGGAAGGGAAGAATGACAGGCTATCCAAAAAGACAAGGATGAGATTGGATATGGGAAGACCGGTCTTAGGGGCTGCAGACAATTTCTCTGCCACCCCTCTCAACCAACCCGTCGTGCACACACGCATACACGCAGTCAGATATAGAGACAGGCACACACACGCACCACGTGGCTTGCAGCTGTCTCTCTCACCTGCGCGGTGCCTCTGAACCCATCCTCAGGCCCAAACATGGCCACCAGGTGGAAGGGAGGTTGGGTTGGGGGTGCACAGGTGCTTTCCACCCCTCTACCCAGTTGAATATGACAGCCCGTGCCAACAAACCACCTGGGTAGCAAGAAAGCAAGTGTCTCACCTGCGCCGTGCCTCTGAACCTGTGCTCGGGCCCAAACAGGGCCACCAGGTGGAATGGAGGCTGGGATGGGCACAGGTGCTTTGAAACCCTCTTACGGCAATAACCACCCAGTTAGTGAGAACATTCAGAGCCCACACACCACCTGGGAGCAAGCAACTGCCTCACCTGCGCCGTGCCTCTGAACCCGTGCTCGGGCCCAAACATGGCCACCAGGTGGAA